TTTTTTTTTTTTTTTTTTTTTTGAGACGGAGTCTCACCCTGTCGCCCAGGCTGGAGTGCAATGGCATGATTTTGGCTAACTGCAACCTCTGCTTCCTAGGTTCAAATGATTATCTTGCCTTGAGTAGCTGGGATTATAGGTGCCCGCCACCATGCCCAGCTAATTTTTGTATTTTTAGTAGAGACAAGGTTTCACCATGTTGGCCAGGCTGGTCTCAAACTCCTGACCTCGCCGAACTCCACCCGCCTCGGTCTCCCAAAGTGCTAGGATTACAGGCGTGAGCCACCACGCCTGGGCTTCTAGGTTGATTCCATATCTTTGCCATTGTGAATAGTGCCACAGTAAACGTATATGTGCATGTGTCTTTATGTAGAACTATTTATATTCCTTTGGGTATAGTAAAGGGATTGCTGGGTTAAACGGTAGTTTTAAGTTATCTGAGAAATTTCCAGACTGCTTTCCATAATGGCTGAACTAATTTACATTCCTATTTGCAGTGTATAAGCATTCTCTTTTCTCCACAACCTCACCAGCATCAGTTAGTTTTTGACTTTTTTAATAATAGCCTTTCTGACTGGTGTGAGATGGTATCTCATTGTGGTTTTGGTTTGCATTCCCCTAATTAGTGATATTAAGCATTTTTTTTCTTATGTTTCTTTTGAAAAGTGTTCATGTCCTTTGCCCATTTTTTAATGGAGTTCCTTTTTGCTTACTAAGTTCCTTATAGATTCTGGTTATTAAACCTTTGTCAGATGCACAGTTTGCAGATATTTTCTCTCATTCTGTAGGCTGTTTACTCTGTTGACAGTTTCATTTTCTGTGCAGAAGCTCTTTAGTTTAATTAAGGCTTACTTGGCAATTTTTGGTTTTGTTGCATTTGCTTTTGGAGTCTTCATCATGAAGTCTTTGCCAGGGCTGATGTTCAAAATGGTACTTGCTAGGTTTTCTTCTAGTATTTTCATAGTTTTAGGTTTTACATTTAAGCCTTTAATCCACTTTGAGTTGATTTTTATATATGGCGAAAGATAGGGGTTCAGTTTCATTCTTCTGCCTATGGCTATCCAGTTATCCCAGCACCATTTATTGAATAGGGAGTTCTTTCCCCATTGCTTGTTATTGTCAATTTTGTTGAACATCAGATGGTTTTAGGTATGTGGCTTTACTTCTGAGTTCTCTAACCTGTTCCATTAGTCTATGTGTCCGTTTCTGTACCAGTGCCATGCTGTCTTGCTTACTGTAACCTTATAATTTGAAGACAGGTAGTGTGATGCCTCCAGCTTTGTTCTTTTTGCTTAGGATTGCTTTGGCTATTTGAGCTCCTTCTTGGTTCCATATGAATTTTTGAATGTTTTTTTCCTAACTCTGTGAAAAATGTCATTAGCAGTTTGAAAAGAGTAACACTGAATGTGTAAATTGCTTTGACCAGTATGGCGGTTTTAACGATATTAATTCTTCCTATCTAGAAGCATGGAATATTTTTTCCATTTGTTTGTGTAATCTGATTTCTTTGTGCAGTGTCTTGTAAAATTCTCATTGTAGAGATCGTTCACCTCTTTGGTTAGCTGTATTCCTAGGTATTTTATTCTTCTTGAGGCTACTGTGAATGAAACTGCATTCTTCACATGGTTCTCTGTTTAGATGTTACTGGTGTATAGAAACGCTACAGATTTTTGTAAACTGATTTTGTATCCTGAAACTCTGCTGACGTTCTTTTTCAGATCTAGAAGCCCTCGGGAAGAGACCATGGAGTTTTCTAGTATAGAATCATTATCTGTGAAGAGAGATAATTTGACTTCCTCCCCTCCTATATGGATGCCTTTTCTTTCTTTCTCTCACCTGACTGCTCCGAATAGAACTTCCAGTACTATGTTGAATAGGAGTAGTGAGACTGGGCATCCTTGTCTTGTTCGAGTTCCTAAATAGAATGCTTCTAGCTTTTGCCAATTCAATATTATATTGGCTTTGGGTTTGTCAGAGATGGCTCTTATTATTTTGAGGACTGTAACTTCAAACCTAGTTTGTTGAGGGTTTTTAACATGAATGAATGTTGAATTTTACCAAAAGCCTTTTCTGCATCTACATGTGGTTTTTGTTTTTAGTTCTCTTTATGTGATGAATCACATTTATTGACTTGGGTAGGTTGAGCAACTCTGCATTCCAGGGATAAAGCCTACTTGATCATGATGGATTAGCTTTTTGGTGTGCTGCTGGATTTCATTTGGTAGTATTTTGTTGAGGATTTTTACACATATGTTCATCAGGGTTATTGGTCTGAAGTTCTTTTCTTCTGTTGTGTCTCTGCCAGGTTCTGGTATCGGAATGATGCTGGCCTCATAGACTGAGTTAGGGAGGCGTCCCTCTTTCTCAATTTTTTTGCAATAGTTTCAGTAGGAATGATACCAGCTCCTCTTTACATGTCTGGTAGAATTTGGCTCTGAATCCATCTGGTCCAGGACTTTTTCTGGTTAGTAGGCTTTTTATTACTGACTCAATTTTTGGAACTTGTTATTGGTCTGTTCGGGGTTTCAATTTCTGGTTCAATCTTGGGAGGTTGTATGTTCCCAGGAATTTATCCATTCTTCTGGGTTTTCTAGTTTGTGTGCATAGAGGTGTTCATAATAGTCTCCAAGCGTTTTTTGTATTTTCGTGTGGTCAGTGACAACATCCCCTTTATCATTCCTGATTGTGTTTATTTAGATTTTCTCCCCCCTCTGTTTATTAGTCTAGTTAGTGGCCTATCAACTTTATTTATTCTTTCAAAGAACCAACTTTTGCTTTCTTTGATCTTTTGTATGGTTTTTCTCATCTCCATTTTGTTCAGTTCAGCTCTGATTTTGGGTATTCTCTTCTGCTGGCTTTGGGGTTGGTTTGCTCTTGTTTACTTAGTTCCTCTACATGGGATGTTAGGTTGAGATCTATCTTTTTGATGTGGGCATTTAGCACTATTGTTTTCCCTTAACCCTGCTTTAGCTGTGTCCCAAAGATTCTGGTATGTTTTTATCTTTGTTTTCATTAGTTGTTAACAATTACTTGATTTCTGCCTTAATTTCTCTTTGTTTACCCAAAAGTCATTCAGGAGTAGATTAATTTCCACTTAATTATATGGTTTTGAGAGATCTTCTTGGTGTTTATTTTTATGGCACTGTGACCCAGGAGTGTGGTTGGTATTTCAGGTTTTGTTTTTGTTTTTTGAGATAAGTCTCACTCTGTCAACCAGGCTGGAGTGCAATGGCATGATCTCAGCTCATTGCAACCTCCTCCTCCCAGGTTCAAGTAATTCTCGTGACTCAGCCTCCCGAGTAGCTGGGATTACAGGCACATGCTACCATGCTTGGCTAAGTTTTATATTTTTCAGTAGAGATGGGTTTTCACCATGTTGGCCAGGCTGGTCTCGAACTCTTGACCTCAAGT